AAAGACACAAAGGTGGCAGTAATATCTTGCTTCTGGGGGTTGTGCCCTGATGAGAATGGGATCTGGGAGTAAGACTGGGGAGCTACCGTAGTTCTCATTCTTCCTGTCTATTAGCCCCCCCCCCACCCTTTTTTTTTTTTTTTTTTTTTTTTTAAGCTTTTTAACTTTCAACCAAAGACACCTAAGAGTTCCACCTGAGTCATGACTCTAGGTGTGCAAGCCTGGCCCCATCTAAACCACATGGACTGAGAGTGGGGGTTTTCCCTGCAAAAAACTTGGGGTGCTTTTGTACATGCTTGGCAGACACCCTAATATAACCAGTTAAAACCCTTCAGGGACTCTACTGCCTTACTTTCATAGATGAGGCCCAATATCCTTACTTTGCTTTCAAAGCCCTGTATAGTTATGTCTCCTGACCTCAGCTCCAGCCACCCCACTTCATATTCAGCCATTCTAAACCACTAGACCATCCAGCTGACTCATCCCAGGTACATCTGGTCCTGTGTCTTGGAAAGCAACAGCTCCGACACCTTCATTGCCAGAGGGCCTCCCCTGCTTGGTGTTGGTCTCCAGCCCCAGTCCTGGCAGCTCTAGAATTCTCTCTGCCACAGTGCCGATTGCACCGGTCCCACTGTTCCCATGTCTGCCTCTCTACAAGGCTGAGCTCCAAAGCTGGCAGGGGCCTTGTCTCCATCTAAATCTCCAGCTTTCACCTCAGAGCTAGATGGGCAGGAGGTGAGCTTAGAGAAAGCTTGTTGGGAAGTGAATTCTGGGAGTTTCCTCTGCCAAGGGTCCACTGTGAGCTCTAAGGGAAGCTGAACTCTAACCAAGTAGTTCCCTGGATGCCTCCCTAGCCTAAGGGAGAGCTTGGTGGGAAATCTGGGCCCACTGTAGGTTGTGTGCCCCCAGGGTCCTACCTATTCACTTGGTACCCACTCACACCTGTCCAGGGCTGGTCTTCAGCCCCTCCATCCTGATACCTCCTAACTGCTCTCTCCCCATAGAGCCTAGAGCAGAGAGGCAAATGCATCCTGGGCCCCAACCTCATGCCTCATGGGCAAAATCCAGCTTCACTTTCAGCTGGCTTCTTCCCTACCCTGTAACAGCCACTTACCAGTGGAAAGACCTTGGCAAAGCCCAATCATTTCCCTCAAGTTAATAGAAGTGGCAGCACATGTTCCTCTGACCATCAAGAGTGGGGATGGGGCAAGAGGCCCTTTCAGCTAAGTTGGTGCTTGGAGCCTTCTGGCTGCCCTTGAGACAGCTGTCAGCTTGGTCCCTAGCACCCACTCCCCTGGCAGGCAAGTCCTGCCAGGGACCCAGGGGCTCGAGGGAAGGGGTGACCATTTCAGTGGATGCTCATAGCCACCCTATGAGGTGACGGATCTCATACTCACCTCTCAAGAAAAGGGAAGGGCCTGTGCAGTCAGCTTGAAAGCGACCAGGCTGGGATTTAAACCCAGAACTGATGGCAAAGCTCACGTGGCCTTCATGGAATGAGGTACCCAGCCCAGACACAATGAACAATCCCTTGTGGTGGTTACAGGGAATCCTTGGCGGGGGGGACTGGGGCCACTGGGAGATTATGGAGTGATAGGTCTGTTAAGTCTAGAACAGACTTGTAGTCAACAGGCTGCCACCCCCAAATCTTGGCATAGGTGGAATGCTATGGAATGGAATACTCCTCCAATCCCTCTGTCCCCAGCCGAATGTCTCCTTCAACGCCTGGCTTAATTACTATTTTCAGAGGACCCTCCCTGATGCCCACATGGCTGGTCTCTACCTGCCCCTACTACAGCCTAACTCCCAGTATCACCACTGTCTCTCCTTTGCTCAGACACAGTTCCTGCTTCAAGGGCAGAAAAGGGGGTGGCTCCAACATGTGCACTTGGCCCTGGGCTGGGAATACAGCAGGGGTCCAGGTAAGGCAGACTGGCAGGTGTTCCTAACAGCTGTTCCTCCACCTGGCTCCCCATGCTGCTCCAAGCCCCCAAGTGATGGCCAGGCCACCTTGGCGTTGGAGAAGACACTGCCAGCTTAGCCTGCCTCTCCTGCACAGGCAGGGCCAGACCCCCACCTCCACCTCTGTGGGGACCTCAGGCTTCTTCCCTCAGGCCTCATCCCATTTAAGCTGAGAAGCCCTAAGGCCACCAAGGCCTGGCTGCCTGGAGAAGCTGCCCCAAGATCAGCCCTGGGGGCTTCTCAGCCTTGCTGCACCGGCAGCCCTCGCCAGCCTACCTTCAACCCCTTCCCACTTCCAGCAGGGTCAGGGAAGCAGGAAGACCCCTAGAGCACCAGGAGCAAGAAAGAGGCAGGCAGGGGTAGCCGGCCAGGTTTGTGCTCTCACTGTATTCACACAGAGACACGTGGCAGCTTACACTGGACAAAATGAGTAATAAAAATTGGCTTTAAATATGGAAAAATCAGGATTCTGTAGCCCTACACTATCCCAACACTGAAACCAGGACAGCCATCAGTCTGGGAAGGGCTGGGCTGGGGTCTGGGGTGCAAGCACACAGCCTCAGCCTGCCCGCTTCATACACATGCACACACACACACACACACACACACACACACACCCTACAGGCACACAGGGAGGTGATGGATTATTGCTGGGCACAAGTGTCTATGGTTATGAGGAGTCTGGAATGTTTGAGGGTTGGCCAGGGACCACCCCCACCCCCGACCCGGGATGGGGCAATTCTGCAAGAGGTGACTTCAGGACAAGACCCAGCATGAGGGACGAGGCACCCTGGGAGCTGGAAGGCAGAGGCAGACCCATCTGGGCCAGCCTGGGCAGTGGACTGATGGGTCCCAGGGTCAGCCCAATCTCTCGTCACACTTTGGCACAGGCCTAGGGGACGGTGAGGCCTCAGATCCAGCTCTGACAAGTGCGGAGAAGGGACAGCATCAGGCCCCAGTGGTGGCCTGAGCCCAGGGCGGCAGGGGCAGACACGAGTCTCACTCAGAGGTCGGCGATGGTGAGCACAGTGCTGGGGCCTCAGGGGCCTGAGGAGCCTTGAGTTTGGCAGTGGCCCCTCTGCCAGCTCCAGCGTGGGTCTTCAGAATGGCCTAGTCACTATTTACATTCGCACAAATACGTAAATCCAGAAAGCCCCAAGCTCCATGCATGAGAGCTGAACGGACGCATCTTTGTCCTAGGGACAGTCCAGGCCTTTGCAAACTCAGCCAGACCAGGGGTTGAGGGGCTGGGCACAGCTCCAGCTGTGTTCCCTAGGCCATGACTTGAGTGGACAATGGGGAGGACCACTGTGCAAAACTGTCAACAGCGCTGGGAGTAGCTGCTACCGCCAATCGCCGGTGGGGGCCTCAGACTGGGGGCTAGAGGCGGGTGGGGAGCTCTTCCTCACTGTCGCTGCAGTTCCCACAGCAATCCTGGAGGGCAGGGAAGACACGGAGGGAGAGAGGCAGAGCAAGCGCTGTTAGCCACCAGTGCCGTCACTGGTCAGGAGCTGCCCAGGGCCATGCTCTGTGGAGGGGAGTTCCAATGAGGGGCCTGGAGCAGCAGCTCAGGCCAGGGGCTGAATGAAGTCTGGGGGACCAGGTGGACCCCAGGCTCTGGGAGGGCAAGGCCCCGTCCAGACCCTCTCCCCTGGGGCCAGTGGAGGCAGGATGTGGGAAGACAAGATGGCTAAGCAAGGCTAGCAGCTTGAAAGTGGCAGGGTGCAGGGAATGGAAGCAGGTGGGAAGGGAAGGTGGGGAGCGGGCACCGGACTTCTTTCGCCCACATCTTGCCTCTGCCATGGAAGGGCTGCCTGTGGCTCCCCGAGACCAGGCAGCAACGCCACCCCACGGGGAGCCCACACTGCTCACCTCTGGAAAGAGAAAAGAGGCCATGAGCCCAGCCAGGGTTGGGCGGGGGACAGGCGGGAATGAGGCCAGAGACCCTGGCACCGCTGGCAAGGCTGGAGGCGGCCCACTCACAGCACATGCGGGCACCAGCTCGGCCTTCCACCCACCGTCCCCTGGAGCCAGCTAGGCTGGGGGCCCAGGTAGGACACTGCTAGGGGTTACCTGGCGACTGAAGAGTCTCTGCAGCAGTCCCTTCTTGGGGGGTGCAGGGGGCTGGCCCTTCCAGTCCAGGTCTGGGGGAACTGAGCCGTCCATGCCGAAGACATTCAGCTCCTGGAAGCACTCGGTCTCCACCATCTGACACGGGACAGGCAGCTATGAGAGCTAACCCTAGGGTTGACCCTGGAGCCCACCCCACCAGCCAGGCAGGCCCCACCTCGTTCTGCCAGGGGATGGGCACGCTGCCCGTGGCAAACTTCTGGTAGAAGTCCTGGTCGGTGGGCTCCAGTTCTACGCCCTTAACCGTGGAGAACTGTTCAATGTCCAGGACATCCTTGCAGTAAATGGCCTGGGGCTGGGGGAACAAAAGCAGCAGTCAGATAGGAACGCTACCCGCGCACAGGACAGCTCAGCCCCGAGAACTGCTCTAGGCTTGGTTGTGCTCTAGCCCTTGCAGCTCTGGTTTGGAGTCAGAAACCGGCATCCCACGCACTTCCTAAGCATGGCAGTCCCTTCTCTCTGAGGCCGTTTTCTCCCTGTAAAGTGGAGGTCACTCTCCCTCACTGACCAGCCTGTGGTAGCTGACCCACTGCAGCCAGCCAGCTCCTAGTGCCCGAAGGAAACCCCAACAGGCACCCCTCCATCTGCACACAGCTGTCTGGGTGAGCAGCTGGTGAGGCGACTGCAGGCTGAAATCTCAGTAGGCCCTTCGGGCAAGGTCCCCCGCATGTAGGGCCTGGGGCTGGGGTCCTCTGTCCTGGGATGTTGAAGAGCTTGCTCCATCCCATCATGCTTCATAGCCAACCAGAGGATTGGAACAGCCCTCCCATCTCCCTATACCCCCAGCACCCTGCTGGGAGCCCACCTAACTTCAGGCCACTTTTTTCCCCCATTGCTGCAATTGTTTTCTAAATTCTACTGTTAAGGATCGCAACTGAAATATCACCATATAAAATGGTGCAGCTGCTTTGGAAAACAGTCTGACAGTTCCCCAAAAGTTAAACTCGGCATTACCACAGCAGCCAGCAACTCTACTCCTAAGTGTCTACCCAAAAGAAATGAAAACCTATGTCCCCACAAAAAGTTGTATGTGCAGATTCATGACACATTTATTTATAATAGCCCTAATGCAGAAACAACCCCAATGTCCATCAACTGATAAAAACAAACAAATGTGGCATATTCACACACAGTCATAAAAAAGGAAGAACTGATACATGTGACAATACTGATAAACCTGGAAAACACTGTGCAAAGTAAAAGAAGCCAATTCACAAAGGACCATATAGTGTATGATTCCATTTATCTGAAATGTCCAGAATAGGCAAATATATAGTGACAGAAAGTAGATCAGTTGTTTCCAGGGAAAGGGGAGAATAAGGAATGACTGCTAATGGGTATAGGGCTTTTTTGGGGGAAAGGGCGATGAAAACAATCTAAAATTGATTGTGGTGATGGTTGTACAATTCTGTATATGTAAAAGCCATTTAATTATATATTTTAAAGGACTGAATTGTATAGTATGTGAATTTAATCCTAATAAAGCTGTTAAAAACTATACTGCTTTTCATCTGTTGCTTCTAAAAACATAAAGTCCAAGGCACTGATTTTCTCTCTAACTTTGAATGAAAGACTGGGTGTAGTGGGATGGTTTCAAGGTTAAATGAGATGATCGTCACAAGAAGCAGGAGTGGCAGTGCCAGCCCCGAAGTAGGCTGCTGATGTCAGGCTCAATCACTCACAGCAATGCCCGCATATTGGACTGCCAGTGAGGCCTATAAGACACCATTCTTCAGAGGCAACGGTCCCCCAGAAGGTCCCCCACATCCACCCACCCCCTCTATGGCCCACACCCTGCACCTCCACTTCCTGCTCAACATTCCCCAAATGTCCCCGTCACACTTAGAATAACACACATTGGTTACGCTGGCCCCTTGTTGCTGTATCATCTCTTGAGGCTGGTCTCTGCCCCAGGGCCTCATTGGCTGGCTGTTCCTTCTCCCAGGAATGCTCACATCACAAATCTTGGCAGGGTTCTCTCCTTCACATATTTTAGGCTTCAGCTTAACCATCGGCTCCTCAGAGACCATCCTGTCTAAAAATATTCCCACCCCCCCTTCATTCCTTATCTTCTTAGGCTGCTTTATTCTTTGCTGTTGCTCTTTACATTACCTAAAATTTTTTCACATGCTAGTGTATTTTGGTGTGTCTTCTCACTAGAATATGAAGGCAGGCCTGGGTCCTACTGACCTCATTATCTCCGGGGTCTGGCACATCTGGGCACTCAGGTATTCGTTGAATAAATAAACAATCACGTGTATGGTTGACAGCTATTAACCTGGCCTGCCCAATTGCCTTTCCTCCTTCCCAATGTTCCTGGTGACCTGGTCCTCTACACAGGGGAGGGGAGCAAGCATATGACCTAATCTTGGCCAATCAGAGCCTTCCTTGTTACTTTATACAGAAAAGCCTGAATTCAGTGGGAGGACCATCAACAGGCTGAAGTAGAGCCAACGGATGAAGTCCTGGCAAAACAGTGTTAAATCTGATGTTGGCCAAATGAACTGGAATCTGATGACTTGAGGATATTCCTGCTTGCAGGATGCTTGAACCACAGAGATGCTCAGTAAACGGGTGAGATCTATAAGGTGAGGTGCTCTGCCCACAGTTGGGAGGTCGGCGCTGCCACATATGGTGCGCAGCCGATGCCCTGCCAGCCCAACAGCCGTTCCCCTGCTGCCAATGGCATCTTAGTTTTCCTTTGGGGAACTGGTCTCCCCTACTGACAGAGGTTCAAGTGGGTATGAGATTTAGGTGTGGCTATTGAGAGGCCTCTGAGCAATCAAAGGCAATGAGCATCAGCCTTAGGCCTTTCCTAACCTCTAACCCCCTTTTAGGACTTCTTTTGAAATTACTGGGCAAGAGGCGCTGTCTACTGGGGTAGCTGAGCTGGTAGGATGTGGCCCTGAGCTGCTGGGCCCACCACTGCTACACCCTGGGGAGAGCTGCCTGCCATGAAGACTGCACACTGACCAGTATGAGGGCAGGGAGAGAAGAGAGAGAGAATTCCTATGACACAGCTGGAGCCCCAGGTGTGGTATGCCAAGGCCAGACCTATCTTGGGGCTTTTCAATTTTGTAAGCCCAGATAATTATCTGTTTTGTTGGCTAAGCCACCTGAGTTCGGTTTTCTGACATTTGCACTGAAGGTGTCCTGACTCCAGGAGCTTCCAGCCCTCACCCTGGCTTGGCCCTGCCCTCAGCAGTGGGTGTTACTCACATCGGGCTTGAAGGGTGGCTCCTGCATGCCTGCTCCCAGACGCTTGAAGTTCAGCTTCTTGAAGAGGGGGTGCTCCTTCACCTCACGGGCACCACCCCCACAACAACCCAGGCGCTCAGCAGGGTCCTTGCAGAGGAGCTGTCGTGGGGAAGGGGAGGTCAGGTGGCGTAGGAGAGGTGCTCCCAGCCCCCCACCCCAGCCAGGCCTCCCAGTGGCTGCCACACCTGGGAGCAGAGTGAGCGGGCCTGTGGGGAAAAACGATCGGAGTACTCCTCGGCCACCTCCTTCACCAGCCGCTCCACCTCCTCCCGCTTGATCTTCTTTTTCCTCTGCTGGAAGGGCGACTGGCCTGCGATCATCTCATATAAGAGGCAGCCTAGCGCCCACCAGTCAGGGCTGAATGTGTACCGTTCGTTCTTCACCACCTCTGGAGCTGGGTGGATGGCATAGGAGTTAGGGGCGAGTAGGGGTTCGGGGTGCCCTGGGAATGCCTAGCTCACGTCAAGGCAGGGAATCAGATATCCACCAGCCAGACATGTACTGTCAGTGGCTTGGTGGGGACCATGGTAACTAGGAGAGCACATGTCCCATTAAAGGGAGGTGATATGGCCCCGCAGGAGGCCAGATCTTCTAAGTTTTCTATTTTTAATGTGATGTTGTATGACTTATTCAATGTTGGCAACCAATTCCAATTGTTTTAAAAACAATTTGATTGAAACAAAACGTGGAACAAATGAGGCCTCTGTGGCTACCAGTTTGCAACCTGTGGATTTAGTACCAGAGAGGAAAGGAAGAAAGTCATTTGCTGGATGCCTACACTGCCGGCCAGAGCGGGGTACCAGGTGGGTTTGAATCTTCTGCTTCTTTTCATCTTTGAGGTAACCCTGGCAGCAGGTATGATTATTGCTTTATAGTCAAGAAAAGTGAGGCTGGAGAAGTGGAGTGGCCCTGGCCCAAGGACACACAACTAGCAAGGGGGGCGTGGCATAGTTGGGGCTCTGTCTACTATGTCACGTGGTCCCTGAGGGGAACATGGAGCCTCATCTTCGCCCCTCCCCAATGGGCACTCCCACTCAGAGTGTAGACAGGTAGGGGAGTGAAAAGCTGGGGCCACAGACATGCATTTGAGTCCCTTCTCGTCCTTTACTGGCAGCCACCTGCAGACCCAGCCAATAGGAGCTAAGTGAGTACTTAGTGACTGAATGATTTACATGTGTGTGGGGCGCTGGCTGAGTCTTGAGTTCCTGATCTATAAAAGAAGAACAACAGCTTGATTCCTTGAGACACAAGGGGACTCACCCATGTAGCCAACGGTGCCCACACGGCCTTTGATGGTCTGGCCCTCGGGCACATGCACAGCCAGCCCCAGGTCGGAGATGCGGATGTGACCTGAAGGTGAATGAAGAGGCAAGGGGCTCATTAAGCAGGTGGGCCAGACCCCACCCCACCCCACCCCATATCTGTGGCTCCCCAACCCACCATGATCATCCAGTAGGATGTTCTCTGGCTTCAGGTCCCTGTGGGGAAAGAAAGGCAGGGTCTAATGCTGCTCAGTTTGCCAGGCAGCCATACAGGGCCACCCCTTCCCAGTTCGCTCGCCTCCTGGGATGGGATATGTAGCAAGGAGTAGGAGCCATTTGCTGCCAGGGCAACAGACAGCCCTGCCCTGATCCTGGCGGCAACACCGGCTCGAAAGTGGAAGGCAGCTCCCACTCAGGGAAGCTCCCCAGATGTCACCAGTAGTCTTGTTCACCCTTGGTGTTGAGAGGCTCCCCTCCGCTCCCCCACCCTTTGCTGGCTGACTCTATCTTTTCTGTCTGTCACATGGGGCTGCTCACCCAACCCCTCCCGAGGCTGTTGCAAGGTTCAAAAGAAATCGTTGCCAATAACAGTGATAGGGAGAGCCCTCTCTGCCGAGCCCTTTGTGCTGGGCTCCAGTGTAATTTACTATAGTCTCATTCGGTCCCTAGGCAGGAATTATAGCCTCTGCTTCCAAGGAAAGGATATGGTGTTGGGAGCAGGGATTGAACTAGCCCAAGAGAGGGATGACAACACTGAGACACACACCCGTGTCAGCCAGACCCCACAGCCTGGGTTCTGAGCTTCTCAAGTCGGCCTAGCATGGGCTAGTGTGCAGCCCCTGGCCAGAGCCCTGCAGGGCTCAAATGGGCTTGTGGCTGCAGTGACTGCCCCAGCACACCCACATGCTTCTGTCACCTCTACCTGTGCCCAGCTGCAGCCCCTGGTAGGAAGGCCGAGCCCCACACCTGTACACGATGCGCTCCCGGTGCAGGTCCTCCAGGCCACAGCAGATCTCTGCAGCGTAAAAGACGGCCCGTGCCTCAGGGAAGCCAGCCTGACCCATGTGGTAGATGTGGAACTTGAGGTCACCTCCATTCATTAGCGTCAGCACCAGGCATAGCGCGTCCTTGGTCTCATAGGCATAGGCCAAGCTCACCTGTGGCCAAGGGGACCCGAGCCCTCAGGCAGGGGCTGCAGGCCACCTGGTAGAGGGGCTGGTGTCGGCCGCCCCAAAAATCCTTCTCAGTGCCACTCCTGGGAGCCCAACCTGCTCTCCAGGCCTGGTGTCAATACCCCAAACCTGCCCTTCCCAGGCATCTCTAAGAGTGGGAGTCAGTGCTTGGAGCAGGCAGGAGATCTTAGCTTAGTGAGTGGGGAGGGCAAGCTCCTGGCCAAGGGACAGGGCGGGGTCTCTTGTCTGTACTTACTACAAACCTACTGTTCACTTTCTCCAGGATCTGCTTCTCGTTGAGTGCCATGGCCTCCCCTTTTCGCTTCTTGATCCGTTTCTTCTCCAACTTTTTGCAGGCATACATCTTGCCTGTTGCCCGCACCTGGCAGGCGCACACCTAGAGCCAGGGAAGATATGGCAAATGAGAACTAGCTGTTCCCTTGCTGGGGTAGAGGGCCTCAAAGGGAGGGAAGGGGCTGGTCCAGGACCCACCTACCCCAGCTTCGCACTCTGCAGAGGGCTCTGGGCTGGCCACTCACCTCCCCAAAGCCGCCTTTGCCCAGGACTCGGTATTGCCTGAAGGTGTTTTTGGTCACTGGCTGCCTGTGGGCAAGGGGTTGGGGAGACATGGCTGAGCAGGGGCCCAAGGCCCACGACAACCTAGACTGGTCTGGCCCAGCCTTCGAAGAGCTCACCTTTCCAGCCACTTCCACTGCAGGAAACGGTTGAAGTAGATGCTGTCGAGGTAGTCAGCAAAGGGGGCCATGCTCAGGTACTCATGGGTCAGCCTGTTGAGAAGGCCCAGTCCACTAGTCAGCCTGACACCCTGGGTTCTCAGTGTGATGGGCCAGGCCCCCTGTTACGTGCATGCTCAAGCCAAGAGGCAGCACCCTCAGCCAACCTTCCTGCTAACCCACCTAGGATGGAGATACACACATGTACTGAAGGCTAAGGATGCTACAGTGATGGGAGGCAACCTGCCCAAGGTTACCCAGCAGGGCCAAGGCCAGGATAAGAGGCTGAGTCCTCTCGCCAGCAGCTGAGCTATTCACAGCCTTCAGGGACACAGCAGCCCCCTCCTCGGGACGCGACTCTGAGCAGGTGGGAGGGAGAGGCTTACCGGGTGAGCTCCTGGAAGAGGTCTTTGCAGGGCCCCTGCTCCAGCCGCTGGGCACAGTTAGTCACCAGTTGCCGGGGGACCTCAGGGATGAGGTCAGGACCCTGGGGATAGGCCAAAGACAGGTCAGTGCAGGAGCAGAGATGGCAGGTATCTCAGGCCTGTGCTAGGGGGTGGCTGTAGGCTGGTGGTGTGCCAGCCTGCTTGGTTGTGAACTCAGTTCCTCTTGAGCCAGGGAGAAGCAGAGCTGTTGGCAGGCTGCCTAGCCCACCCTCCTGGGCTCTGTGGCCACAGTGCTGCCTGATGAGCCTAGAGCTGCTCCAGGGCATCTCTGCTCAGGCAGTGGTTACTCCTCTCCCCATCACTGAGCTCTGCCTGCTGCCGTCATCCCTCCGTCACTGCTCACTCACCGTGTGGCTCAAGAAATTCTGCATTAGCCGCTGCCCACATGCCTTCCGCTTCTCATCAGGGGTCACTTCATACTCAGCCTGCAGTGTGGGAGGTGGAGAAGCTTGGGGTCTGGGGGAAGTGACAGGTGTGGGGCATCGGGCACATGGGGTCTGGGACCTCCGCCCGCCTCAGGTGTGGGCTCGGCCTCAGGGCTAGGCTGCACTCACCACCCCGTCCAGGAAGGCAGTGCAGCGGGTCAGCTCAGGCCTTGTCGCACAGAACTCTCGGAACAGCAGGCGCCCGATGGGCTGCCGCTCACATAGGCTATGGTAGTCATGCTCTGCAGGCAGAGGTGGGAGCTGTTGGGTTCCCGGACCTAGAGCCTGCTGGCAAGACACCCCTGTCCATACTGCCAGGCCCTGGGCCCCAACTTCGAGTCCTGCAGTATGACATCCATTATCTCCTTTAGAACCTTCACACAACCCTGAGGTGGGCACAACTGCCCCCTTCTACTACACATCAAAGCTTGGGACTCTGAGGCCCAGAGAGGCTAAGTGATTAGTCCAAGGTTATACAGGCAGGAGTGTGGCTCCAGAGCTGGGGCCCTCACCTCCCCCTCATCTGTCTCCTGGTTCACACCACTTGCATTCATCACAGTGCTGGGGTTGGGCGTGGTCTGAGGTTCCGGCCAGGCCCAGGCTGGGCCTACACCTGCTGCTTGCCTGGCGAAAGTATGGGAGGAAGCTGTGGCTTCCGGTGAGCTCGAGGCTAAGCCTCCTTCCCAGGGAGTGGGAGCAGCCACAGTATACTCCTTGCCCACGTGCTGGCTGCCAGAGCGGGCCTGTGCAACCCTGAGTGCTGCGCAAACCTGGGGCCTCAGACGAGATAAGCAGGAACTGGGGGCCTGGGACCTTTTTCTCAAGGCTTTACTGGGCCCCAGGACTGGACCGGGTGGGCTGAGCTCAGGCCTGGGGCTCCCAACACTGACAATTGTACCCTCTGTACCCCGAGCCCTGTTCCCCTAGGCCTCGCCCTCTCTTCCTCTGCTTCTCTCAGACTGCCCCAGATCTGACTCTGTCCTATTCTCCACAACCAGCCCCATCGCCTCCTGCTGTCCTGTCTGCCCTCTGCCCTCCACCCATCCTGAGCCCAGGAACTGAAACTAGGCTGGGTGGTGCTGTCTTGATCTTCACGCTCCCCAGACCCCCAAACCCTCCCAGGGTGAGGTCTCAGGGGAGGTTCCTGGCACCAGCAGGTCTTCTTGTCTCAGCACCCTCAGCCTCCACCCAGGCCTCACCGAGGCTGAGCCGAAGCTCTTCACACTGGCTGATGTGGGGGAACTGCAGCATCTGCCGCCATTTCTTGCTTTTGCCTTTGCGATTCCCGCCACCACCTGTGGAAGCAAACAGGCACTGAGTCTGGCCACCCTGTGCCTCTCCTCCACTCTCGGTGAGGTCCAGAGGACTAAAAAGCCTAGCCCCGGCACAGCCCATGCTAAGAAGCATCTTGGGCCTTCCTTCCACACGCTCCAACATGCCCTTGCTGGGTTCCAGGACACGTATGGTCCCTTGGGCCCTCCTGCTAGGGGCTACTGAGCTAGAAGAGCCAAGAGAGCAGTAAGGCCAGGCTGCTGGGGGTGGGTGGGGTTTCTGGGCCACCTCGGCAAGCCTCAGCTGCTTCTCACCAGGTAGTTTCCCAGGTGAAGAAAGTAGAGAAGGACATGACAGTGGTGGGAACTGTGTGAATCAAGATCCGGAAGAGAGAGGGTCTAGGACATCTGGGATACAGCTGAGAGATGGCAGCCTGAGTCACTGGGCCCTGCATCAGAACTATCAGAGACTCAAACAAGGTGGTAGCAGGAGGGCCAGCACTCAGCATCCCCACTCCTGAACAGAAGGCTTCCTTGCCCCTGATACTTGCTTCATTTTACCTAGCTGACCCCTTGCCTATAGTTGCTGAGTCCAGGGTAGCAGCCCAAATGCCTACAGAATCAGACAGGTATGGTGAATGGGAACCAGGTGGGAGACAACAGGGAGTGGTGGGGAGTGGAGTGAAATGGATGGGGCATGCCCCTTCTAACAGGGGCAGCTGCAGCATAGCTCCGGCTGTTGCTTGGTTGCTGCTAGGCAGG